CTGTGTACATGGGAACGTTGAATGCCAGCATGCCTACCTGCACACTCGTGATTAATCATTGATCGCTAATTCGGGGAGGCGCGTAATTAATTAATGCGTCGCGTCGACTGCATCCGGCGTCGACAACGTTTTCGACGAAAACGAATCGTGACGAATCCTAACTCCTGATTAATCAATTGTCGCGTTCCTGATGGGAACTCGGCTGTTGACGAGTAGACCGCGACAATCGAATATTGTCAATCGTCGAGAATCGGTGAGTCTTTCGAAAGGACCAATTGCAGTGGAAAGGCAATAAATATTCTTACAGATTTAATTAAACAGAGAATAAATCATATAAAAAAAGAAGCTACAAATTTCATAAGAGGCTGTACGGAGTATTACGTGTTAGCATTTTACAATAAAACATGTAGAAATTACATTTAATTTTTCCTAATTGAATTTAAAAAATGGAAGAATTTACTAAAGATCAATTTTGGAATACAGTGGATATTTAACGTTCGAAGATCAGGGTTAACTGATAAACAGAGTAATGGAAAGTGGTTAATTGATTGCTAATACTAAAGAGTTAATTGGGGAAGGTGTTTCGCACATTGACGGAAGACCAGGTGTTAATGATCAATATTAGCTGCCCGAGGCACGTTTCCATTAAAGAGATTACGATTGCGCGTGATACGATGCAATTGAGTATCGTGTACCTTAATCTTAGAATTAAGATAGCCAGTTGAATAACAGAGTTCTTGGTAAATTAAATTGCAGGATAAATAAGAGCCGAGAGTAGATTAAAACTAATAAAATATCTCATTGCAACTATCTAAGAACACGGACTATTCCATAAGGAAATTAGTTGTCAAAAATAGGAAACATGTAATCAGAAAGTTGCTCGTACAAGACAGACTGAAACTACAACCAGTACTTTTAAATACGTAATTACACGTATAGTAGAATAGAGTTCCACCAATTAAATAATAGAGATTTCTTGGTAGATTATGAAAATTGCAGGACAAATACGAGCAGTCTAGATTAAACTAATCAAGAATTTTAATGTAACTACTTAACAGTACTGATTATCCCATAGAGTTACCAAAAAACAAGAAACATGTAATAAAAAAAATTGCTCGTAAAATACAAAGAAAAACCACAGTTCGCAGTTCGAAATACATAATTACACGTAGTGAGACTGAGACCAGTAGTAGATTGAAGAGTTCCGCGAGGTCTACCTGCGTAAAGCAATTGTGAAGGGCGCCACCAGTCGGGTAGAGTCCGCTGGTAGCAGGGCCTGTCCTTGTCTGGAACCCTGAGGGCTCTTTTTTTATACCAGGTACGGTGTGGGTGGGCCCAAACCGGTAGGCTGGACCGACCAACCTCGTATCTGCATCACGATTCGGTTTTTGTAACGAAATCGCTCCGGGAATACCAGCGGGACTCCAGTTCTAACTCGTTAATCCGATTCCTTTCAACTTAGTTTCGAACAATCGTCCCAGCATCCCCTTCTCTCCCATTTTTTTTAATTAAACTTCGTGCTACGAGTCTTATTCGTTAACGACATAGGTACGTGTCCGTATTTTAATCCAGTTCAAACATTCACCAAGGTAAAGCGTACATAAAACAAAATACAATCTTATTTGATCAAACTTAAAATTGTATCAAATTATACTGAACGTTGGTTGGTTTGATACGGATTTAATGCATAAATTATGTTCATCAACGAGAATAACATGTTTCGCGGCGATTCTAATTCGCGACTTGGGTGAAGGCAGCAAAATGTTTGAAACATAGCACCGGTGAACCGTTTATTTTCGAACGCTGCGCAAGACATCTCGTCTAGCGCGTGCCGGCAACCTTGACACGGCAGTTGCGCTATGACAAGTTAGTAATTGCCCCCGGAATTTAATTCGGCCGCCGTTCAGGATGAAATCGTTGATTTTTGTGATCGGCTAACGAACACGCGCGTGACACGATCGATACAAGCAGTCAAATTAAACAACAGTCATTCCATTTATTTGACGATTTTATAGAGAAGATTGAATATTTTTTTATAAATAATCGCAATATTTCTATAAACGCCAGAATTTCAGGTCGACGAAGTGTAGGTCGATAAATTGTGTAGCCTGTACACGTATTAAATTTCCGGAAATCAAATTCAATTCACGAATAGTTTTCCCCCTTTTTCCGTATTTGCTTTCATTATTCGTACAACTAGCCGTGGAATAATTAGCCACCGGCAGAACATGAAAATGTCGAAAAGCCGCCATCGCAAACAAATGAATTTAGGATACCAAACTAGTCGGATCTCGTTAAACTCGAGTTATACGTTATATCACGATGAGAATACGAGCCTGCGCGCATTTCCGTGGATTAATTAAAACTCCGCTTCGCCGTTTATGTAAGCCGTACGCATGCTACGTTGTTTCGACATGCATAGGTGTCGACTGTCGACCAGTGATACAATCCCCCACCGTAACAAACCTATATAGCAATTACGAAGCTTTCAAGTCGCTGCGAATAATGCCCGTCCATCGTTCCGGTTACACGTCGCCGACAAAACCGGCTTGTTTTTCCCGGACTTATCGATCGCTCGGCTTCAAACGAAAAATAACGAACCCTCGACGCGCGATTTCTGGCTTCTACGTTAGCCATTTGCGTACGAGAATTGAAAGCCGTAGTGTGCCTCCAGTAATCTAGAGTTTCTGCATTCCTAGAGTATTTCGACTTCTAAAAAAATAATGTGGAGAAGATAATTTGATATCATCTGCTTTTACGAGAAAACCTTCAATTTCAATTAGGTATTATGATTATCCCAATTTCATGGTCATTAGCAGGATATTACCAACACTGAACTAATATTGAATTACATCTATAACAATGATTCGACGTGTATTTAAACAGGCGTTTATATTTAGCGTGTATTTAGTGTGCGATGTGTTTGTTCCTGGTCGAATTACAAGGTTTAATCTGTGTGCAACGGTAGAAACACTTGTTCGATTGAAGAATTGCAATGGACTATTGATCGGGCCAGCCATTGGAAATAGCTGTTCGCAATATAACTCAATAAATATTGCTATTTGATAATGTTGTTTTCATACTCGAAACTCAAACGCTTCTGATTGCGTGTGCAAAAATAGCTGAACTGAACGCAGATATTAGATCTGTATAATAAATGTGATGCGTTATAGATATTTCAACGAACTCTCATTCTATTCTTTCAAGTATTTCTCATTAGGCTGTTTTAGAAGAAGCCCGTCGATCTACCCTCAAATCTGCGTTAACGAAGAACTAGCATACTTATTTAGTTCTTGCAATTCAGGTATTCCCTAATCATAAGAACCTTGCCCTCTGTTCATCCGTTTCGAGCGAGAGCTACGCCGAGCGGCTGAGAACGTCGATCCAATCGGTCTCGCGTTTCTCGCGGACTTTCACTCGGCGTTCGTCGATCGAGGCGAACGAGCGGGCGAAGCGGAAGGCCGAAGAGGCGCAAAGTGAAACGCCGCTGTCCTGTCCCTCTCTCTGGTCTCTCCGCGACGAGGTGACTGACCTCGAAAGCGAAAGACGGGAGTAGCGATCCGCTGCGAAGCGAACGGAGGAAACGGAGCCGACGACGACGGGGACGACGAGCGCGACGAGGAGTGGCCGAGAAGAAGAAGAGCAAATTGGTGCTCCGGGTAGCAGGGCCCCATGAGCACCATGGAGGAGAAACTGCGTGGCGCCACGAAGCGCGCCAGTCGACGAGGACAAAGAGGAACCGGGCCAGCTGCCTCCGATTGGTCGAGCGAAGCGGGATCCTCTAGTGGGGCCCGGGGACCGGCCCCGGCTACACCTACCAGCTCGCAAACGGCGTTCAACAGGTCCCAGGAGACAGCGGGCCCGACCAGGCGGCAGTCCTCGCGGGACAGCTTCGACGCGTCTAGCCAACAGGCCCCACCCGAACACGGCGAGCTCTTTTTCAAGGTCCTGCCCTCTCTCCTGATATTCTACGTTCATCGAGTCTCTGACTCTCGAACAAGCTGAGAAACGGTATCCCTACTGTTTCACAAAAGTTTTCTCTACAGGGTTGATATTAATATCTTTTTCTGTATCCCAACGCATTGGCAATGAATGAAAGAGGAAATCGTTTCCATTATTGCAATTTTCAGAGTCTACGAAGAATCACATTATTTTTGGAATGAAAATAATGAATCTCGACAAGGAACTTAATTCCAGTATTAATATATGCATAAATTTCATGCAAACTGACCAAGATACGTAGTTCAAAGCTTATCATTTGCACGTTGATTAAGACATACCGCGAATAGTTTATGTATGTGTAAATACTTTCTTAAGTTTGATTCATGGTCGATGGGAAACGATCACTCGCAGCTGTTAATCATGGAAAAGGCGGTTTGTATTAGACGCGATTTAAATTATTAGCTAGTAGATGAAAGGCACTCAATCACAGTAAACCGTTAATTATACCTTCCTTCATTCATTTTCTGTAGCAAAAGAAACACAGCAATGCGTTCGGAAACGGGCTCGTTACGTGATCTCGATTGATTTTCATGAAACGAGCCAGAAAATACGATTGAAATTTCCTTATCAATCCGTGACTTCAACTTTATTTTATCTTGCAATTGAGCAAACATTCTCTCAGTCGAGGAATTGAATGAAACAGATTACACACTGAGAGGGATCGATACAAATAATTCTGAAATACTGCAATGTTTTTATAAGGAATTTTCGTGCAACGTAGGTGATGCTACTTGGAGACAGTGGCGTTGGAAAAACTTGTCTTTTGACGCGGTTCAGAGATGGCAGATTCCTATCCGGCAACTATATCACGACTGTCGGCATTGATTTTAGGGTGAGAGACACAAAATTCCTTTCAGGAACACGAAGGAAAAATCCATCTACATTTTCAAATGCAAACATTTTTGAGATACAACGTGAACCAAGTGACTGTTATAAAGCCGCCGCATGTAGATAAAAGATTAGTTTGTTGAAGGTATAACTGAATTTATTTGTTACAGAATAAAGTCGTCGTCGTCGATGACACTTCTGTTAAACTTCAAATTTGGGACACGGCCGGCCAGGAGAGATTTCGGAGCGTGACGCACGCCTATTACAGAGACGCCCATGGTAATTAATCGTTTCAATTAATTTGATCGTTTCAGAAAAACTTAAATGCAATCCTACTATAGAAATCGCTTATCTTGTTGTCTGCTGCTCATTATAACGTTTACACTGAGTGTATGTTAGTTTTGTTTCTTGAAGAAGAATTTTCACGCAGTAAATTGTTAATTAATGGGCTTGTGGTAATGCAAACCAACGAAGAACAACGCTGAGTACTTACCGGCAGATAATCGAAATGGTTGTGAAGTTTGTCAAGCAACTGGTAAATAGAGGGGCAAAAAGTCGAGAACTTTGAACAGGCTGTTATGTAAATTGTGTTACACGGTGCGCTGTTGCGTTTCGCAGTCCGAGTATGTGGAAACAGTTTCTTAGCCAGAGACAGCGAAAGTTCGCCTCTGATTTCCACTGAATATATGTAGAATACTTTATTGTAGTTGCAGTGCATTTACTTCGATCAACATTGTTGAAAGCGGTGGATAAGAACAGACTGCGTTTGCTTGCAAACCTTTGAAATCTACAAAAAGTTCTTCATAAAATTACTACGATTGGATTTAATTTCACTGGAGAATTTTGAAAAAGTTCGTCAAATACTTCAATTAGATCTTTTCTCCGACAATAGCCTTATTTTTCATTTACCGACGATGTCGCAACGGGTCGTGATTCAAGGCGAGCATTAATTTTTGGAAGCTGCGTAGCGAATTCGAGGTAAAAGGGGCGGAGATGGAAGGTACGCGGTCGCACGCCATAGGGGGTGACCATTGTTTGCGAAAGAACCCTCTTTCAAGAGTAGACGCCGCCGCGACAATAGTCCAGCCGCTCCGAAAGCTTGGTAACAATTACGCTGCGGAGATGTTTCGCCAATTGTGCCTTCGTTGACGGATATTGCTTGCGCGACCATGCTTTCGGCTCATCATCCTTAACTGTCCGTGAAGAGTTTATGAGGGAACGAGCTTTCGCACAGAAAAGTAAAAAATCACCGGTCGCATAGTCGAAAATTCAAAGTCGAAGAAACATAAATCGTATAATTTTAAAAGATCAACCTGACAAACATTACAATCTGACGAACATGCACAATAAGAGAAGTAAAAGGGTATTGGTATTTCTCTCACTGGACCCAGTACAATATGCAATTCACTGAGTTTTACTTCGAAAAGGACATGAGAAAGGATGCGTTTATTATTCTTATATCTCAATTTGCCCGTACAGGAAAGATATTTTATAAGTTTACTTCCTTGGACACTTTCTCACGAATCATGTTCATAGTACGCGTATACACGCAGAGTTAAGCATATGTCTGATAACGCAAACGCGTCACGTAGGAACTGTCGTTCCCGCGCCTCTACCAATTACTACAATCACCGACTGCACAACGATCATTATTGGTTTCAGCTCTTTTATTGCTGTACGACGTGACGAACAAGACGAGTTACGACAACATCAGAGCCTGGCTGAGCGAAATCCGGGAACACGCGAACGAGGACGTGGTGATCATGCTGCTGGGTGAGTCTCGATTATTTACGTTGAACCAGAGAAAGGAAAACGAACGAGAAATACTCCGAGAAGCTTTCTTTGCGGTCTAATTTCTAAGAAAGTTGCCACAGTCATCGAGTGTATACATATACTCGTTCTTGGATTGGTTTCGACAAGTTTCTTGCTTTCGTAGAAAGTCGATAAATATGTTCTAGTAAGACTGGCTGGTTGATCGAAAAACTATTTGCTAGATGACGTCAATTGCTGGAGGATCTGAACTTGTATGCATCTCATTAGAGGAGCGACTTCGTCAGAATCTGAAACTATTACGCAAATTACTCGTGCAATTGCAATCGTAATGATTGCTTTTAGGTAACAAGTCCGATTGTGGACCGGAACGAGTAGTGAAGAGGGAAGACGGTGAACGATTGGCGCAAGAGTACAAAGTCCCCTTTATGGAAACTTCAGCTAAAACCGGCCTGAACGTTGAACTAGCTTTCTTGGCCGTCGCTAGGTATCTATATCTAAATCTCTCTGGAATTATCACTCGCGCATATTTCATTATCCGGGGACAAAGCAGAAATGAGATAAAGGGTCACGAGCCTCAGCTTGGACGAAGCTTACGTAGAGGGAACGTTACTCGATCATATATCAAGCATCGTTTTCTGCAATTCCAGAGACCTGAAGGCAAAAAAGAGCAGCAACCCGGATGACACCAAGTTCAACGTGCAGGACTACGTTCGTCAGCAATCGCAACGGACTTCCTGCTTCACGTCCAATTGCTTGACGACTTGAATCGCGTGTTAAGAACATGCGCACACTTCTTTACGATAAATTAGGCGAATGGTGGAACACGAACCGGAATTTGTTGGCTGTGCAACGGCCAAGAAGAGATGTAGACTTCCGTCTACTCGACCACGTAATCAAGAATAGTCCAGTAGAAAAAACGGCCGCCGAAGTAACAATTCATCACAAATCGCGCATAAAATTTTCATTTGCGTAACTTACATTTTGAACTCGAGTATTAGAATTTCAGACTGAACTGTTCTCGATTTGAATGTCAAATGGGCTGTTTAGATCTATTCTTAGGGAAATTTCCAAACGTCAGAAACGGGTTCGTTCCACCAGAATGGTATGTACCCTCGTTGATGTTGAGAGCATATAAATGAAAGATACACATGTAAATGGAAGAGGATTATCGATATTTTTTAAAGCAGCAGGCAACAGTTGTTGATGATTCGTGTATAGAAATCTATTTATCGATGGTTAAAATCGTGTACTGTACATTAATGTGATAGTCGACACGGGATAAACATAGATTTAGGTAACGTCTCGATGGTTCTAATTCGCACACTACCGTCACGGTGTTAATGGAAGTTGAAATAAAGTTCAAGTACGATAAAGAGTTCAAATATCGAAAATTTAATGAAATGTCGCGCTCGAAAGCTCGTCGTTGTACCAAGTAGAATGACGGTTTTAGAGGCAATCGTCATGTAGAAGAGCTTTTCAAAAAATGTTCCATAGCTGCCATGTATACGATACACTGGACGAGAACGCTCAAGAACTTTTAGTTGCTTTTTCCTGTAGCTTAGATCTCCCGTCCATAAGTCTTAATCTCCTACTAAACTATTAAGCTTTAGCAAACTCTGAATTCTTTAGAAAACCCTCTAATTTAATATTTTCATTGAATAAAATATCAAATTTCGTTTTAAATCTATAATACATCTTCTATTAAATATTCAAGTCTTATGGACAGGACTGCACATAGAGTTACATATATAAGTCTTTTAATCTGAATTAGTTAGAGAAAATTGTTTATGGGATTTTATATAATTGTCACATTTCCAAATTCTATTCGATTTCTAATTAGACAAACTCGTGTGTACGTGTAGCTTGTCTGATTCATTAGCGACCACGTTTCTGTAACATTTTCTACGTAGTGGTCCACGATGGTCTCGATCATCCCGAATTTACATTTTGTATACCATATTTACTTTTATAACCGTAAGACGATAATTTGCTACCGATATTTACGAAATTAAATAAACGTTGGCTATATGATTTGATCGAATTGCGGCTACAAATCTTTGCGAGCAATCAAAAACAAATCGAACGAGATTTAATCATTTACGTTACCTGCAGTATATGTACAATGTATTCTATCGACATGTACAAACAACAAGGTTACATGTTAAATATATGTATATTGAGAAGTATATATATATATGATTATAAAATAAACAATCACTTGACCAAGCAATGATAGAATTGCATTCTTTTAGTCTACCAACACTGTCCTTGTTCCTTTATTTCAGTTATTTAGTAGATAATATACGTACAGAGTGATAAGACTCACTTGTATATTGTTACAATCACACATGTAAACAATTGAAAACGCAGGTTCGTCTAACAAGCTTTTAAGTCAGCATAACTTAACACAAAACTTGTATACAATAAGTAGCCGCGTGTTCAATTATTGTCTTACTATTTAGCAATCGATAAACATTCGCACGATTTTAAAATCTAACGAAGTAAATGATTGACTTACGAATAGGTTCTAATCCTGTCCTTGGCTTCAGTCAGCATTGCCGTCCGATCCGAAATAAACTGTGAAACTAATCTGTCTTCGTTTATACACCCATTTCTTCATTTAACTATTACCGGGATCTATACATTCGTCACTCGCGAGGAAATAACAAATAAATAACTGCACTAAAAGCCGTAGTTGTCTTCCAACCGCGGTAACTATCGCGCGCCTATTCCTGAATTCCTGGCCCGTGTTCCTCAGACAACGGGAACGCGACGGAATGGACCGCTCGGATGTCGGACGCAGTTTCAAATGTCGACGTGCAAACAAAACGCTGCGTCCCTAACCTGCTTCCTGAAGAAACGCTTTTCGGCTGGCAGGTGGAACGTGTAGGCAATGTCCGAGGAGGAAGGACCACGTCCTTATTCCGCGCCAACGATGAACGGCTCGGAGGAGGTACGGAACATGGAAAATGTGTGCAGACTTTGCCTCTCAGCCGACGAGCCGAAATCATCGGTGTTCGGAGGACAGGGGTCTCCGCTTTCCTTGGCCAGCAAGATACAAGACTGTCTGTCGATACAGGTAGGTGAACGATATCGCCGTTTGTAATATTCCATTTCGTCGAACCTATTCTCTCTCCTCGTGTTCTCGACGACCCTGCACTTTGTTTTTTCGCACGATCTAGGCGCTTTGAGGTTAACTCTAGGCCATGTCTCTAATATTGTAGAATTAGCAAGATGACCATGAGCGTCATATTGCTATCCCATCGTCTGTTGTGTTTATCCTTGCACGAATGAACGTCAAGTAGATTCAGATTTTGCAACGGTTACTGTTTACTACATTTTTAATAAAACTGAGTTTTAATTAAAATTTATAAATACGTATTTGTATTTTTATCAAATTTCTTGTTCATTATAGATATCAACTACAGACAGATTGTCAACACAGATATGTGCTAATTGTGTTAAAACAGTGGATCAGTGGCACCGTTACAAGGAAGCTTGTTTTCGATCACAAGATAAGCTGAATCAGTGGCTGGAAAAGCATTCTAAGCCACCTCCTATGGTAGATATTAATGTTTTATTAATTGTGTTTAGTATGATATTAATAATAATAAATATCACCTAATTGCTATTTGTTGTAGATTGTAACGATCAAGGATGAACCTGTAGATGTAGACTTTGATGGAGACGTTGTTGATGTCCTTTCTGAATCTACTAATCATTCGGATTCAGTAAGTATCTAATGTTCACAATTAAAGTTTGGAAAATGTATTTAAAATATTTTTCATTGATTTTATAGGAAACAATTGTTGTTGAAGAGGATAACAATCCCGTAAGGAATCATGCGCAAGTCGACGAGCTTGAGATTGTCATATGCGAAGATCAGTCATTGCCGACAAAGAGTGCAGAGACATGTGCAACTGATGATGAGATTACCGTGTATGAAGACCAACCACTGCCGGCAAAGGAAAATACGGACATGTGCATAAAAGTTGAGCCACAAGAGGCTTATGATACAGACTGCACGATAGAAATTGAATCTGTGACCGGTAGTGAACTCGTGTTGAACCCGCTTTCTACCAAAGAGGGTAGAGTCATGGAAGCTGATTCTACACAGAAGTCTCATCAGTCAGCATCTGCGCGAATTGGCAAGAAAAAACAGAGAAGGGGTCGCACGCACTACAGGGGTATTAAAGTTCATAAACAGAAATGTGTGCATTGTCAGATTACCTTGCATTCAAAATACAATTACATGAAACATATGCAGAGATTCCATAGCGAGAAGCAGAATGGCGTCACTGACAAACCAGAATTACAAGATGACGAAGAATTGATTGAGGATTTAGAAGATGAGTTGATGACCATGGAAAAAGAGGCTCCATTAACGCAAGTGCAGCAGAACATTATCAGTCAGCTGAAGACGTACTCGTGTTACTCTTGTCAAGAGTCGTTCCCTGATCGCCGGACCACTCTGGCTCATATCCGTCAACACATGCCGGATCTCCGACCGTATACGTGCATTGCGTGTTTGACGGAGTTCCCGGATCGATCGATGTACAACTTACACTGCGGAGCGTCGTTTGAATGCGCGATGAAAATCGCGTTGGTCGTACCCAAGCAAGGGGAGGAGAAGTACTTCACATGTAGCATGTGTTTACGATCGTTGCGTGATAGGAAGGAATTGCTCAGTCATTTATCGAAACACTCGGATAAACAATATGAGGAGCTGACATCTCCAACGCGATCTCCTCCTAAGTTAACGGCTATGACTTCCTTGCCAACGTCTATGTCAACGCCTGAACTACAACCTAGGAAATTGTTCGAGAATGTTCCTTCGAAGATGAACATACCCAGCCCTTACATGAACGGCGATCCCGCACACAATCACGTGTGCGATTTATGCGGTATGATTTACAGATACAAACCCAATATGCTTAAACACAGAGAACTCTGTCGAAGTTTGTCGCCCGATGTTAGGACGTCTTATAAGTGTGTCCACTGCGGTATGACGTACCTTATTTTCAAAAAGTTCTACAATCATATCACGATGGATCATGATAAAAAGGAATTCACTTGCTCCCAGTGTGGTAGCAAGTTCAATTTACCTAAAGATTTTCTCTATCACCACGAGGAACACCGTAAGAACCGCAAGAAGGAGTTGCATGAGAAAAAGGAGCCCGTGGCAGAAACTGTTAAGAAACCTATCACGGACTGGGACACGTTCGAAGCTGAAGTGAATGCGAAAAAGCTGATTACCAAACCGTATAGTTGTGCTCTTTGCAATTTAGAGTTCAACACTAGAAGTGAATATGCGGAACATAGAAATCTCCATTTGAAAGTGAAGATCTACTCGTGCGTCGTATGTCGCAGCATGTTCAGTAGTGCGGGTGCCCTGGAGATTCACATGAAGGACCATGGTATAGAGGATGCGAACGAGAGAAACTCAAATATCTCTTGCATGGAATACGGCAGCGCGGACGATAATTCTCGGGACTCAGATTCGTTAAATGTAACTTTCAAAACGGATCCTGACTTAGATAGGAATACATGCAAACTGTGCGGTAAAATCTTTTCGCACCCAGCGAACGTCAGGAGACATGTAAGGAACATCCACGAAAATGGTCGGTACCATGTTTCATGTCCTCATTGTCCGCGAATGTTCAAGAGCGAGGAGGACCGTGATCAACACATGTCAAACGAGCACGCCAAGCCAAAACCTATGCTTCGGTGTTCACAATGCCCTAAGACCTTTGTTTTCCGCAAGAATCTAGACATTCATATTCAAACTATTCATGCTAAAAGATCATATGGTAATGGTAATCACAAGTGCGATATCTGTGGCAAAGAGTTTATGAAGGACTCGTCACTAAAGATACATAGGAGTTGGCACAGCCGAGCGAATTCGGGATTGAGTATCATAGTGAAGGCGGAGGATTCGCAGTCAAAACCAGTAGAATCGAGGAACGAGGGTACTAGTCGGTCGGCGGAAGCTCGGAAATTGTCACTGGATTTACCACCTACAAACTCTGCCGGCAATTTCCAATGTCAAGTATGCACTGAAAAATTTAACGACGTGACAGAGTTAAGGGAACATTTGTGGGACGTGCATTGTGCCCGAAACAAACCCGAGAAGAACTTAACCACCGAGGAATTCCAGTGCGAGCTTTGCATGAACGTATACAGTGACAAGGAGACCCTGAATGGACATATGCAGTGGCATAAGGCTCATCCTATTCTTGGTCAACCTCCGCAACGTCCATATTCATGCGAGATCTGTGGGAAATTCTACAGTTCTAAGAAGACGATCTGGAGACATAAGAAGCTTCATAAATTGAACGCAGCAGCCACACTGAAATGGCAAATGTCTGCGAACTCTACGTCTCCTCGACCAACTTGTAACTTTTGTCAGAAAGTATTCCATAGCAATCAGTCGTTGCAGCGTCATAAACTAGGCTGTCACATTGGCGTACTGAATGAACAACAGCGGCCAGCATTGGTGCAAAATAACATATCGAAGACGTCGTTAGAAGGAGAACCAGAAAAGAAGAAGATGAAGTTAGAATCGGAAACGAAGAAGATGAAGTTAGAATCGGAAACGAAGATGAAATTGGAACCGGAAGATGGGAAATCGTCATTAGCCATGGATGTAATGAACGCCGGTAAAAAGGCAGTGATGTGCCACGTTTGCAAAAAGTTCTTTGCGAACATGAGCGTGCTATACAAGCACAAACAGTTGGCGCACAAGCCGAGCATGGTGAAGAATATCGTGAAATCCATAACGACCCAGTTGATTCCCTTACCAAGTAAGAACGGCAAGGTTTCCTGCAACATTTGCTTCAAAAAATTCCCAGGCCTTTACAACCTTCGCCAACATTTCACCAAGAAGCACAAATTCCCGGAACCTCCACAACATCGTTGCTACATAGACGGGTGTAAAGCCGTATTTGACAATGCGATGAGCCTGAAGACCCACGAAATGTCGCACGTCTGCATGATCTACAACTGTACGCAGTGCAACAAGCACGTGTACAACAAATCGGCTTTGTCCGACCACATGCTCTCGGTGCACAATACCGTTTACGACCCCGACACCAACAAAAGCTTCCACAAAGAAGTAAATTTGGTTACGTACACTGTAGAAGGGGCCGTGGACGCTGTGTGTCCACTATGCAAGATTAAGTATCCCAATAACAAAGCTATGAAAATTCACTATTTCAAGTTCCATGATAACAAAAAGTAATAGAACGGTGTATATTCGAAGTGACTTGAAAGATGAACCAGATTAGTGTGTGATGAACGGTTGGTCCAAAAGACAGTGCGACTCTCCGAGCAGATCGGACGCTGCCTTACATATTTTTTATCGACTTTCGGGTGAATAGTGTAAACAAGTAGTACTATTGCGATAACGAATAGGATCTATATATTCCTTCGTTCCTTACCAGAGCTACTACTATAATTCTTCAGAAAGATCCTCGAATTTGGATACCTATTCTTCCAGGAGGGCATTGAACAAATTCTAGATACAATGACGACACTTATGAGACGCTGTCCGGAGATCGACGAGAGTTATTAAATTAGATAACAGGTGTGAAACCATAGAACAGTTAATTGAACTTAGTATGCTATTGGGGATTGTGGTATCGATTTTATTGGGTGTCGGATGTTTCGTTGAACTGAACTTTTGTTTATTGATTCGTATCATGTCGATTTGTTGTTCACTGCAAAAGAGGATAATATCCTGTCATCTGTTATTTTGCTGTTATCCAATGATGGCTTGATCATCGGAAAAGAATACGGTTGTAACAGGGGTGATAGACTATAAGAAGGAATATCATGAAAATGTGGTGACCGAGATCCGGTTTTTTTTATATTTAATCATTCTTTGACCAGACGTTTGTATACTGTGCTAGATTTTTTCATAATGCATACATGTACATGTAGAATTTTTTGCATCTAGTGAGCAAATAAAGGAAGAACCAATACTTGTAGATCATCGATTTTCCAATCATCACTTGACAATGTCCTTTATGGGACATCGTCGTCATCAGGTGTACACGAGTTTTATGATTCTTCCAAGTTTTAATAATTTTCGTTGCTTGTATATCGTTTACTATTAATAATAAAAACAGAGGTGTCCAGATCGTTGGCTGATTCACCTGTGCCCAATAACTGTTTCCAAGAATCGGAGGATCAATTTTTTTAGCAGTTTTTTAGACAAGTTTCTGGGACGATCAGGGAATCACCCTAACCTTTAAAACTACGCATCACAGCAATTGTTGATTTTCTAATTAGGTTCGCCTGATAGTTTCCCTTTCGCATTGCAGTAGATGTCTTTTCTATTACCTTTTTGTGTGGCCAATGGAATCGGTTGTACGTTTCTTGTATATAAGCAATTGACATCAATCTATCGTGTCTGGACATTGCAGAGGGCAGCAATTGCTCAGATCTAGAGTGAAGCAGCCTATCTGGACGAAGACCAAGCGCGGATTAGAGTCGGAATACTTGGCTTGAGATTGAGGGATATCCGATTTAGAACTTCGATCCAAATATTCGAGTTTTTTTCTGTTTCTGCTTACGTAGATAAGAGAAGAGTTAGAATTTAGGGCTGATTTTAGACCAGGCTGATCTTTTGTTCTAAGTCCTAGCCCCTAGCATGCTACGACCCTTTGACTATATGTAGTTAAAGCTACAACCAGTGGTGTCATTAATGTTCCCTCGATGTCTAGCTTTCCTAGTGAAACTTCTGTAAAGTGTACGCCATAAATCATTTTCGTTTGGTTCTCCAATTGTCAAGTCGTCAATTACAATTTAATGAAAGCAAATAAATGCGCTTGTTATTCGAGCAGTTTCGTTGTTTTCGCTAGAAACGGACGGTGATCATAAGTGTCGATCATTATACAAGTCCAAGGAAGAAGGTCTCTTCTGACCTGAGAAACCTTTAAAGCCCGGATTGCTCTACGCAGTATGACTACGTAGATCGTTGTTGAATTTTTTTATTTTCGAATTTTAAGAGGAACGAATATTTTATAACTGTGGAAAGAAACGAACGGGAGGGAATTAAACTGCTGTTTCCTTGGAATTCGCACGTCGAATATCATTCCGTCTATATTACCGTTAAGTTTCTTCCAACAGATGTTCGAAACGATAATTACGCTCTCGCAGTTATCGTTCTACGTAACTGCGATAGTTCCGAACTTTTCAGACGTAATTATATATTCGTAACGAAGGTATAGAAATCTATATATTTCTATACAAACGGAACATTTTTCTGTACAGTAAATCTTTTAACGCGAATCCTGAAGAAAGACTGTTCGATGCTGCGAATGTATTTTATCGAAATCTATTTTTTCCTCTTTTCATTGACGAGTGGATGGAACATTTTAACATGATTTTTTTTATAATTCGCCATGTAGAAAGATAATGCTTGATCATAAATGTGATTTCCCGTTAATATTTATCAATATATACATATTACAAACCTTTATGTGTATACGTTATACCGATAATAGTTACCTCTCTTGATTTTGTGTAATCCTTTGTTACATACCTCTCTTCCTCGTATTTTAGATTATAATTATACATTCAGATCCTGACGAGCTGCCAAGATCAATTATTGTCTGTTTAATGATTTTCATAGGATTTAATTTTAAATAAAAAAATTGTACGAATACGGAATTCCCATAAACGGAAGAACGTTTCTGTTTTTAAATCATCCTTACACGAATCATTGTCGACTCATCCTCGTGGATAAGTTCTTCAGGTGTAAAGACGTCGTACAGTACAATGACGTCGCTTTTGACAATCGCTGACAATGATTGTACCAGTGGAATCACGACTCGGCTCGAGCGTTTCGCGTTCCGAAGGCACTTACGGTGTCGCGGACACGCGAGTAGCCGTTAAATTACATACACGCCGTGTGGAACGAGCCCGTTCCTTACACGGTTTTGAACGCAACCATCCACGTCGGAGGTAGCTATGCACGTGCGAACACTGCGTGCACACGTGCAGTTAGCGTCTTTCAATCGTTCCAAGACTTTTTGCGCAGACCACCTGCTGCACATCCCGTTTCGGGATGCGCTGATTGAAACTTGCTCATCCGTATAATTGACGCATGCTGTTCTTCAAACCTTTTTCTCGGACTAATAAAACTGCTGAGAACGAGGATCAAATAGTTCCTGATTTCTCGTTCAATTTTTATAGAATGCATACGTGTTCTCGTTGTCTCCGTCCTCCTTCTTTCCTACACTTACTAAACATTCGTATGTAATGTTCTAAGTGGCCGTACAATTTGATTAACGTCGACATATGAAACCCCAGGAAGGGGAATTAATGCATACAAAGCACTAAATTAAATGCGTTGTGACATATGATACCGTATTGATTCTTTGGAGGTCCAAATGTTCGCTGCTTTAAATCGACTACACGTGTTAGAGGGCTGGGCTATCAAATGCATCAAACGTTTGTCCGCGTTAATGAATCCTTTCAACTAAATCGAAATCTAATGATTTTATAATCTACCATCACCGCATTCTGTCATGAGATTTCTCTACATTGTTGTCGAATGAGAAATTAGGTCGTTAGCTAGGAACATGCGACATCGAAGCGGGCTAGAAGGTCACGTGGACTGCTCCATTTCAGTCTTGCAACATAATCACGCATATGTTCCGAGCTTGAGCATACACCGCCGCCCGTTTAATAGCTTTCACGATGGCGTAATGCATGTGTTACATACGCTGCAATGACGAGGAACGACAGGACCAAATATTTTATGATTGTTCTAGCTTCTTCGATTACTTCAGCTTCGAAGGGTTGAAATCGTTTGTGTAAATTTTGTATTCAATTCTTAAAGCTCAACTTGAAAGTCCAAAATTAATTTTAATAAATTATAA